GACACACCAGGGAACAAGACTTCAACAAAAATCTATTGAGGTAATTCAGATTATGTTTCAATTAAAAGTGAAACAACAGGCTATAATCTCACTAATTTACAGCATGAATCAATCATGTAAGAAATATGCAAAGGTAACAAAGATAACATGGACTGGATGATCTAACAGATATTTTACCACCTCAATTTCCATGCAATATCACCCTCTCCCCTCAAAGATGCAAAGGTACTAGTGTTACTATTTATTAACACATACAGAAAGTTAATATACTGCAAAAGTTAAACATTTAATTTATGTGTAAATGGCCATCACAGTTCACAGAAGGCAATACAGGTCATCTGGTTTCAGAAGCTGAAAGATTCACATATATAAAACACACAAGACGTTGTAGGGCAAAAACATGGGAGAGGTAAGGTCTGAGGAATAATTAACGACAGGAGAAGGAGGTATGAAGTGAGGAGTAAGTGAAGTACTATACGCAGCTTCTCATTTCCACATATTTTGAATGTGTAATTAAACCAAAATCACAAGGATGTTAAGAATGAGTGTTATGTTACGGATCGGGAAGATGAGAAGAGCAGTGAAATTACATAGCAAGTCAGCACAATGCTAGGATTAGAATTCAGGAGTTCCTGCCTCCCAACATTAATTCAAGCCTCTTGGCCATGTTACCTTTTATGGTGTCTAACCAAATCACATTCTTCCTATGGAACATTCATGGATTAAGTCCTATTAAGCACACTGGAGCTCTTTCAAAACCTAAAAGCCTGAGGGAAAATGTGATGCTCTTTCAAGCAGCATTTGCTATAGAGAGATGCCAAGACACTTAAACTGACTTGGCTAGGTCTTTACTACTTCATTAGCCATGAATTGAGTATAATCATCTTAATACACAATTATACCCTTTCCTGCCAGCAAGGTCACAAGAGATTCATTTTTAAATTCAAGATACATTTGAACAAATCAGCTTAGTATTTGTCTACAACTCCAAATATCAACGGTTCCTACGTTTTACCAAGTTGGGATTGCTATTAACTTCACTTCTGTCAAACCTCACTAATCCATGCAACTTTAGCTGTTCCATGAGTCCAACACAAACTCCCCGCTAGTGAGAAGAAATGGAAAGACAAATGTGAAACTTCTCTGAATGCTGTTCTGGACACACTTACCCGCTGTTGAGTAAGAAGTGTTTTTTGGTCTGGTTGATTGTTAGTCTTCACATTGGCTTATATTAGGGATATAAAATCCCATTTAGCCAGTTAAGCAATTAAAGGGGACAGGCGAGGGGGCCACTCCCACTAGGGATGTAAGTGACTAATTGACTAGTACCCTCACAAGATCTCCAAGGGTTAACGTTCAGGACCATTCACTGAATGATGTATAATGCACTTTGTGTAATCTCTGTGAAGCTGCTAGAGATACTCTCCATGTTTCAATGCAAGGTGCTTATTTCAGACATTTGGAGTTTTTAAAGTGCCTGAAATGCAGATGTTATTCTGACAGCGATAAAACTACTTAAGTGGGAATTGTGCCAGGTGATGGGGAACAGCAGGGTGGAAGTGAATAGCTCTAGGCCCTTGGTTAGACTGGGAAAAGCAGGCATTAGCTTTTCTTCAATGCTGGAAGGTTAAAAAATCTTCATAAAAACAGGGAAGGGCTAACCAATTGCAGCAGGGGTTACAATAAAAAAATAAGTGGAACCAATAATAAAATTAGGCCTTGATCTCGCAAGAAGTCACATGTATGAGTAAAGTACATGTATAAAAGGTATTCATGTGCATGTTTACAGAATAAGGGCCTATACAGTCAACTGTCTTGGGCAGTGACTATCTCTTTCTACGTCTGTATGATATCTTGCACAAGCAGCCCCACATACTAACTGAAGTATGTGTGCTCCAACTAGAACAGATGCTTTATGGTTAAGGCATTAGGCAAGGAGTCCAGAGATCTGGGTTCAGTTTCTCACTCTGCTGCAGACTTCCTAAGCAATCCTCAGTAAATCACTTTTTCCCCTCTGTGCCTTAATTCTCTCTGTCATTTGCCTATATGCTGCATCCCTTTACCTTTTTTCTGTCTTGTCTATTAAGGCTGTAAATCTAAAATTTTAAAAGGTTCTTTGAGACTGTACAGCATCTATGATGCTGGAGCAGTGATCTCAGTTCGTCTCCAGAAGCTACTGTAATACAAACTGATTATTGCAGGAATTATGGTACTACTGCTAAAACATCAAGCAAACTATCATACTCAGTTTGTTGATTCCCTTATGAGAGCAACTAGGCTTCCAAAAGGCCATCTGACTTGACTCAATTTAGGGCTTTGGGATTTCCAACAAGAGAAGACATATAAAACTTCAGATAATGATCAGCTTACAACTGCAGTCTTTCATACCGCTACCCAATGAGCCAAAGCTTTTCTCCTTTACTTACACTAAATTCATTTATGACCTCTTCCAGGAAAACTAAACAAATCTGATATTCGACAGCTATTATTTACAGTGCCAACACAAAAACAAGAAACATTTGATAGTAAACTAGAGACCAAGCAACATACCTATATTTAATGCAAAAATTAACAGATATTAAGTGAATGAGGAGAACGTGACACGTCATAATACAGTCTAAGATACAGATTTTCAAAGTTGTCTAGAGGATTTGGGTATCTGATTTCCATTAAAGTGAAAGGGTATTAGGTGCTCCACTTCCATAGGAAAGTTTGAAAAATCTCAACCTAAAATGTATTAAATGTTAAGTATAGTATGGCTTTTAATTATTCTGTCAATGGACTAAGGCCTACAAAAAAACTTAGCACAGTTCAACATACAGCCCAGGATAAGGGTTCTTTAGATTCCCACATATTTTCCTCATGGGAAGCATGTTTATAAAGTTACCATATATCTAAAGAAGCCCATTATAAGCAAGTAAAAACAGAGGAAATGGATACTGGGTTCAGGTGGTGGATTTCTGAAGAGGCAGGGCCCTGGCCCATGTGGTGCTCTTGGACTGGGAAGATGTGCCAATGGGTCCATGCACAAAATCCATGAGGGG